GGCCAGGTTGTATAATAAACCTCAATCAACCATCGCTACTATTGTGGGCAACAAAAAGGCAATCAAGGAAGCTGTTCTTGCCCAAGGTTCAACTGTGTTTTCGAAACAGAGATCCAAGTGATGGAAGATGTTGAGAGACTCTTATTGGTATGGATAAATGAAAAACAGATAGCAGGAGATAGCATCTCTCAAGTGATCATAAGTGAAAAGGCTAGGAAGTTGCATCAGGATTTAATTAAAAAAATGCCTGCAACTAGTGATGATGTGAGTGAATTTAAGGCCAGCAAAGGTTGGTTTGAGAGATTTAAGAAGCGTAGTGGCATACATAGTGTGATAAGGCATGGTGAGGCTGCCAGTTCGGACCACAAAGCAGCTGAAAAATATGTGCAGGAATTCAAGGAGTACATAGACAGTGAAGGACTGAAACCTGAACAAGTGTTTAATTGTGATGAAACAGGCCTGTTTTGGAAGAAAATGCCAAGCAGGACCTACATTACTCAGGAGGAAAAGGCACTCCCAGGACATAAGCCTATGAAAGACAGGCTTACTCTGTTGATGTGTTCCAAAGCTAGTGGTGATTGCAAAGTGAAGCCTTTATTAGTGTATCACTCAGAAACTCCCAGAGCGTTCAGGCAAAAGAATATCCTCAAGGCTAATTTGTGTGTGCTGTGGAGGGCAAACAGTAAGGCATGGGTCACTAGGGACTTTTTCTATGACTGGTTACACCATGCATTTGCCCCCAATGTGAAAGATTACCTAACTGAAAAGAAATTAGACCTTAAGTGCCTCCTGGTGTTAGACAATGCCCCTGGTCATCCTACAGATGTGGCAGAGCGACTTTATGGGGACATGAGCTTCATTAAGGTGAAGTTTTTGCCTCCTAATACCACTCCTCTCCTGCAGCCCATGGACCAGCAGGTTATTGCAAACTTCAAAAAACTGTACACAAAAGCTCTGTTTGAAAGGTGCTTTGTAGTGACCTCAGAAACTCAACTGACTTTAATAGAGTTTTGGAGAGAGCACTTTAATATCCTCAATTGTGTAAACCTTATAGGTAAGGCTTGGGAGGGAGTGACTAAGAGGACCTTGAACTCTGCTTGGAAGAAACTGTGGCCAGAATGTGTAGACCAAAAGGATTTTGAAGGGTTTGAGGCTAACCCTGAGAGGAGTATGCCAGTTGAGGAATCAATTGTGGCATTGGGGAAGTCCTTGGGGTTGGAGGTTAGTGGGGAGGATGTGGAAGAGTTGGTGGAGGAGGACACTGAAGAACTAACCACTGATGAGCTGCTAGATCAACTTCAACAGCAAGAGGCCAGACCTGAGGAAACTGGTTCGGAGGAGGGGAGAGAGAAATTGAAGAAGTTGCCTACTACAAAGATTAAGGAAATCTGTGCAATGTGGCTGAAAGTGCAAACCTTTATGGATGAAAATCACCCTGACACAGCTATTGCAAGCCGTGTTGGTGACTATTACACTGACAATGTTGTGAAACACTTTAGGGAAGTCATAAAGGAACGAGAGGTACAGGCCACTATGGACAGATATGTTGTGCGACAGAAGTCCAGTGACTCTGAAGCTGGTCCTAGTGGCATTAAAATAAGAAGGGAAGTAACCTAAGAAAAGGACTTGACACCTCAAGTCTTAATGGAAGGGGATTCCCCTTCTAAACACTAAGACTCTCTCCTCCTCCCATCCCATCAATCATCACCAGATCTTCAATAAAGGTAAGTGTCATGTAATTGTGCATGCCTTTTTTAGTTTGTGTGTATTAAAATTAATATTTCATGTGGTAAAAATGATTTTTTTTCATACTTTGGGGTGTCTTGCACGGATTAATTTGATTTCCATTTCTTATGGGGAAAATTCATTCGCATAACGATAATTTCGCATAACAATGAGCTCTCATGAACGGATTAATATCGTTATGCGGGGGTCCACTGTATATACACACACCCCTCTGGGTTTTCTGCTATTTCCTTTCTCGTTCTTGTTCTTGTTTATTTCCTCTTATCTCCATGGGGAAGTGGAACAGAATTCTCCCTCCGTAAGCTATGCGTGTTGCAAGAGGCGACTAAAATGCCAGGAGCAAGGGGCTAGTAACCCCTTCTCCTGTATAAATTACTAAATTTAAAAAGAGAAACTTTTGTTTTTCTTTTTGGGCCACCCCGCCTCGGTGGGATACAGCCGGTGTGTTGAAAGAAAGAAGAACTTACTATATACATACTCAAGTATGGGTCAAGGCTTTCGGGGCAATTGTTTTTAGGGAAGGAGGAAAAAAAAAAGTAAGGGGGTTACCTCATTCATGGATATTTCTGAAAAGCCAAAATCAACAAACACAATCCTTATACTGAAGAACAAAAGAACAGAGTAGTACTGCAGTAATTTTACTATCTATATAGAGCGCCTGCCCACAGTCACACATTCCACCATCTACTCTTTAACATTTTGCAGCACATTTCAGTATTTTCATGTGCAACTGAAATTTTTGGTTGCATTTTCTAAATCACAATAAGAAAATCAGGCAACCTGAAGTAGTTATAAGAGGATTTACTGTACAAGACAACTGTAAAAAATCTGTGCACTGGGTCTGAATAAAAAGTAACTTACCAGTATAGAACCTTCACCTAGTAAAACAAGTGAAATTTGAGAACACATCCAGACTAGTGCCAGAGTTGAGAAGACTAAGTAATGAAGAAAATGAGAGGACTATGCCTTCTGTCCCAAGAACAATAAAAGATATGACCAGAGCATACAAAGTACTCTGGGACAGACACAGGCATAGGTTCTTCATCATGGATGAATCAAGGACAAAAAAGCAGGGTAGATAACTGAACAATGAAAAAATCCACAAGGATATTCAAATACAGCCTCTCTTCACTTAACGATGGAGTCTCATTCCTAAGACCACGTCGGTAAACGAATTCGTTGCTAAATGAGGCACATACTATAATGGTAGTGGGTCTGTGCCAACCATCTTTGATATTGTTTTAATGTCACCTTTGCACCATTTATGACATTTTTAGTATATTTTTAAATGTTCAGTTCTTCTGGAAGATTCGAAAGAGAAGTTGAAATGTTGGTAAAAGAATTTTGAAGTGTATGTAAACGAAGGAAATTAAAGTAAACAAAAGAGCAAGGTGATAAGAGCATCAAAAAATATAGGCTATGACAGAATGGATATTAGATGGAGGAAGAGAGGAAGGAGGAAGAAAGGATGGAGGAACTAAATGAATTCAGATATTTGGGAGTGGATTTGTTGGCAGATGGTTCTATGAGAGATGAGGTGAACCAAACAACTGATGAAGAAGAAGAGGTTGGTAGTGCATTGAGGCATCTGTGAAGACAAGGAACTTGATCCATGAAGGCAAAAAAGTGAAATGTACCAAAGTATAGTGGTACCAACACTGTTATATGGGTGTGAAATTTGGGTTACTGCACATTGCTAGAGGCAGCAGAGGGCAATATGTGGTTTGAGGGCAATGTGTGCTTTGATTATTATGTAGAGAATTTGGAGTTTTGAGATTAGGAGCCATGGAGTTACCAAAAAGTATTACTGAGTGGGTTAAGGAGAGGTTGCTAAGGTTATCTGGACATTTACATAAAAAAAAAAAAAAAAAAAAAAAAAAAAAAAAAAAGACTAGAAGGGCATATAAATCTGGGATGGAGAGAAGGAGGGGTAAGAGCTGTCCTAGAAAAGGTTGGAAGAAGGGGGTAAAGGTTTCAAGTGCTATGGACTGAACATCAAACAAGCTTCTGTTACCGTGTTAGATAGGAGTGAGTGGAGGCAAGTAGTTTCTACGATCTGATGTACCTTTGGAGTGTGAGCAAGGTAACATTTATGAAGAGATCCAGGGAAAGCAGTTAGCCACACTAGAGTTCTGGAAGTGGAAAGTATAGTGCCTGAACTCCAAAGGAGGGGTCACAATGTTGCAGTCTGGAAGGTCATCTGAACTGTTATGTCGGCACCCTTCTGACAAGACTGTGATTGAATGAGTGACAAAAGTATTTTCATCTTTGTTGAGTCATCCTACTTTGGTGGAGATTGTTGGTTAAAAACAAATGTAGGGAGCATTAAACCTATCATATGGTTTATACAGTGCCTGGGAAATGGGAGACTCTAAGATATGATCAAAGGGGATGGGAGGATATGTCCAATTCACTGGGTCAAGAGCCCTTCATCAGCATAAATAGACAGTACAAAAAGAACATTAAACCTGTGCCTGAGAATAACATCTGCAGAGTAGTCTAGGTTGATAAACATTAGGAAGGCCTTAAGAACTCTCAAGGACTTCCTTCATGTCACTTTTTATCTTGTGTGAAAGATGCAGACACCTGCAGTGGATTTATTAGGAGATGGGGTTGTGAAGGATGTGATAAGTTGCATAATATATCAGATAAAAAACTGTGCAAGTGCTGAGAAGTCTGTGGAAAGAAAAAAATATTTGTCAACAGAAAAAAAAAAACATGCAATAGGTATGATACTGTATAAAAGTGACAACAATTTTGTATACTGCAACATGAAGGAGGTTGGAAGATGCGAAAATGTCTTGTCTAATAGATCAATGTATGATGTCAATGTTATGGCAAAAGTAAGGTATGAAGAAAATAAAAAATGTTGATAAGAAATGTATAATTCAGATTAAAAGAGTTTGGGATAGTTAGGTCATGTAAGTGGTGTAGGAAGCACCTGAGGAAGGTTTGGAAAGAGGGATCTAAAAGAGGTATTAAGAAGCAAGGAGCTCAGTTTGGCCTGAGGCTAAACTGTGTGTGATAGAGTTTGTTTTCAGAGAGAAGTAAAACTTTAAATTCAATAAAATGTCATCCTGTATCTACCCAGTTCCTTAAGTTGTAATAATTATCTAAACACAAATACATCAAGCCCAAATAAAAAAAATCATACAAAAAAAATTCTATAGATTAACATTAAAACGATACTTACTGGCACCTCTCTAACAATACCCTATTGCTACCAGTAACTTACCAAAATCACCTTTACTTACGAGATTTTAGGAATGAGGTATAAGAGCATTGGAACGACAGGAGAATCATCATGGCCATACACAATGAATCCCATCTGTCTAAGGCGCTGACGGAAATACTTCACATTCCGAGACAGCTGTTGGATACGTCTGCGACCTAGATCAGGGGCAGGAAATAATAAATCAAAAGTCAAACCAAACATTTCCCTTGTTTCATGAGGGTGTGGGAAAGTGTCGAAGAAAAGCTCCTATAGCAGATCAGCAGAGCTGCTGATTGTACTTACCAATGATCAGCCTTGTAATGGACAGCACTGGAACTCAGAATCATTAGCTGCTTCTGAATATGGCAAAATTAAATGAAGAGAGGTAAGCCAAACAAAAGACAAATTACAATAGAAGAATATAGGATTTTAGATAAAAAAAAAAAAATATATAAATGAGCATGAAACAAGCATATACCCACATATAAGCAGGTTGGCTCAGGCAGAATTTTCTCCAATCAGTGAATAATACAGTTGATCAGTGAGAGTGACCCAACAGCAGTAATCAAAACACGTCACAGAATTCTCACACAAGACACAGTTGCCTTTTATTTGCACTAAAAGTGTTAACAGAATTGGGATATACCTTGTAACTGAGGTACCCTCTGTTAAAAAGGGAAAATCAAGAAATGTGAAACAGCTACTTATGAAAGTGTTTACTTGGCAAAACCAATTATGATCATTAACTCAAATGAACTGTTGGTATAGTATTGACAGTGAAAGCTTGCTAGATAAAAAGGAGGCCACAGAGAGGAAATTCTTCCTTTTGGCCATACTGAGCTTTAGCTTTGGCTGTGTTCATAAGTGACCAGAGCCAGCTCATTTTTCTACCAGGTTACAACCAAGAAAATAGTAGAAGGAGCATTATATTTTTTAGAGAATGGATATAAAAAACACAGAAGAGCATCAAGATGAGGCAACTAAAAATTATCTAAGATATCCTGTTTTCAGTGCCAAGAAAGACTGCATCCCCTAATCTACTTATAAAGTGACAAGACGAGAGAAATGGCACGGGCCAAGCCACAGCAGGAATGTGAATGTACTCACGCTGTGATGGCTGGAAGATATAGTAATACTGGGACCACAGGGGAATCCTCATTGCCATACACTATGAACCCCATATGCTTTACTCTCCGACGGAAGTATTTCGTATTCCTAGCAAGCTGTTTTAGTCGTCGTTCACCTACACGAAGTGAAGGTATAAGGATCAAGGTTAGTGGTAAGAAAGAAGCTTGATTTTAATATACAAGTTTGAAGCTGATGCAGGATTAGGCAAGACACAATTTAGTTAATGGTAAGTACTCAGAAGGCACTCGATCTACCATAGATTTAATTAAATTAAACATTTCTGAACATAGATGGTTGATCTATCACATTTTAGAGAAATTGCCACCAAAGACTATTTAGCTAGTGAAAATTTAAAACGGCATAGTTGTTAGTTAAATAAGCTACATACAAAAGAGTAAAAGTATTCAATTAGGTCTCCTGAAAGTAGAACTAGTAAAATTCAAAACCTGTTCATGACAACAAGAAAATGCTCTACTTTTAAAATTCTCCAAAATGAAAAGAAAAGTCAGACACTAGTTTTTACTACCATTTAATGAAAAGCAATTGTCTTCACTATTAATGAAATGTTGGTATTACTATTACTGAGTTTTCGGTGTATTTATAAGAGAAAGGTTCCAACCCCAATGATTTCAGAATTGTAGTGTTCAACTGTACCACCAGGAAGGTACAATATCAAAACTACAATCAATGGTAAAAATATGCAGTGCTAAATTAGCACTATTGAAATATATTATTAACATTATTTTGCTTGTGGGGAAGTGCTAAATCCATGGGGTTATACAGTACATGGGGAATGGAAAGTAATCAAGTTTGATAAAAAAAAAAAAAAAAAAGAACTAATTCCTTCAATCAAGAGCATACTGAAGCACAAGTTGAATGTGATGTAAAAATTATGAGGCATTAATACAAAAGTATTTAGCAGGTTGGTAGAGGATGTACTAGGGGGCTGCCAAATGAGTGTGAGTGTTTTATTCTATAGTAGGACTGCTAGCATCTTTCCTTTATGTCTCAAACACACAGATAATAGGTACATCTTACTGCTACTACACACTTTTTTTTCAACAAGTCGGACATCTCCCACCTAGGCAGGGTGACCCAAAAAAAAGAAAATCCCCAAAATGAAAATACTTTTATCATCATTCAACGCTTTCACCTCACTCATAATCACTGTTTTTGCAGAGGAACCCAGATACAACAATTTTGAAGCATATAGTATAAAGATACAATATAGGTAGTAGGTTGGTAGACAGCAACCGCCCAGGGAGGTACTACCGTCCTGCCAAGTGAGTGTAAAACGAAAGCCTGTAATTATTTTACATGATGGTAGGATTGCTGGTGTCTTTTTTCTGTCTCATAAACATGCAAGATTTCAGGTATGTCTTGCTACTTCTACTTACACTTAGGTCACACTACACATACATGTACAAGCATATATACACATACCCCTCTGGGTTTTCTTCTATTTTCTTTCTAGTTCTTGTTCTTGTTTATTTCCTCTTATCTCCATGGGGAAGTGGAACAGAATACTTCCTCCGTAAGCCATGCGTGTTGTAAGAGGCGACTAAAATGCTGAGAGCAAGGGCCTAGTAACTCCTTCCCCAGTATAATTTACTAAATTTAAAAAGAGAAACTTTTGTTTTTCTTTTTGGGCCACACTGCCTTGGTGGGATACAGCCGGTTTGTTGGGAAAAAAAATACAACATAAAAAGTGACCTGATATAATATAATAATCTAAACCATATAGAATATAATATCAGGGCCTCAATTGTATACATGTATACATGTGTGTGTATTTTTTTTTTTTTCAACAAGTCGGCCGTCCCCCACCGAGGCAGGGTGACCCAAAAAAGAAAGAAAATCCCCAAAAAGAAAATACTTTCATCATCATTCAACACTTTCACCACACTCACACATTATCACTGTTTTTGCAGAGGTGCTCAGAATACAACAGTTTAGAAGCATACACATATAAAGATACACAACATATCCCTCCAAACTGCCAATATCCCAAACCCCTCCTTTAAAGTGCAGGCATTGTACTTCCCATTTCCAGGACTCAAGTCCGACTATATGAAAATAACCGGTTTCCCTGAATCCCTTCACTAAATATTACCCTGATCACACTCCAACAGATCGTCAGGTCCCAAGTACCATTCTTCTCCATTCACTCCTAACACGCTCACGCACGCTTGCTAGAAGTCCAAGCCCCTTGCCCACAAAACCTCCTTTACCCCTCTCTCCAACCCTTTCGAGGACAACCCACCCCTACGCCGCCTTCCTTCCCCTATAGATTTATATGCTTTCCATGTCATTCTACTTTGATCCATTCTCTCTATATGACCAAACCACCTCAACAACCCCTCTTCTGCCCTCTGACTAATACTTTTATTAACTCCACACCTTTTCCTAATTTCCACACTTTGAATTTTCTGCATAATATTTACACCACACATTGCCCTTAAACAGGACATCTCCACTGCCTCCAACCGTCTCCTCGCTGCTGCATTTACCACCCAAGCTTCACACCCATATAAGAGTGTTGGTACTACTATACTTTCATACATTCCCTTCTTTGCCTCTATAGATAACGTTATATATATATATTTATTTTCAACAAATCGGCCATCTCCCACCGAGGCAGGGTGACCCAAAAAGAAAGAAAATCCCCAAAAAGAAAATACTTTCATCATCATTCAACACTTTCACCTCACTCACACATAATCACTGTTTTTGCAGAGGTGCTCAGAACACAACAGTGTAGAATTTTTAACACATACTTCCTCTCAGTTTTTACACAGGAGGATACCAGCGATATTCCAGAAATGATAAATTATGTAGAACAGGACGATAATAAACTGTGCACGATTAGGGTCACAAGTGACATGGTCCTTAGGCAAATAGATAAATTAAAACCTAACAAATCCCCAGGCCCTGATGAACTGTATGCAAGGGTTCTAAAGGAATGTAAAGAGGAGCTTAGCAAACCTTTGGCTTATCTTTTCAACGTATCACTACAAACTGGCATGGTGCCAGATAAGTGGAAAATGGGAAATGTGATACCTATTTTTAAAGCAGGTGACAGGTCCTTAGCTTCGAACTATAGACCAATAAGCCTAACCTCCATAGTGGGAAAATTTATGGAATCAATAATTGCCGAGGCAGTTCGTAGCCACCTTGAAGAGCATAAATTAATCAACGAATCTCAGCATGGTTTTACAAAGGGGCGTTCCTGCCTTACGAATTTATTAACTTTTTTCACTAAGGTATTTGAGGAGGTAGATCATGGTAATGAATATGATATTGTGTATATGGACTTCAGTAAGGCTTTTGACAGGGTCCCACATCAGAGACTATTGAGGAAAATTAAGGCACATGGAATAGGAGGAGAAATTTTTTCCTGGATAGAGGCATGGTTGACAAATAGGCAGCAGAGAGTTTGCATAAATGGGGAGAAATCAGAGTGGGGAAGTGTCACGAGCGGTGTTCCACAGGGGTCAGTGTTGGGCCCCTGCTGTTCACAATCTACATAAACGACATAGATGAGGGCATAAAGAGCGACATCGGCAAGTTTGCCGATGACACCAAAATAGGCCGTCGAATTCATTCTGACGAGGACATTCGAGCACTCCAGGAAGATTTGAATAGACTGATGCAGTGGTCGGAGAAGTGGCAGATGCAGTTTAATATAGACAAATGCAAAGTTCTAAATGTTGGACAGGACAATAACCATGCCACATATAAACTAAATAATGTAGATCTTAATATTACGGATTGCGAAAAAGATTTAGGAGTTCTGGTTAGCAGTAATCTGAAACCAAGACAACAGTGCATAAGTGTTCGCAATAAAGCTAATAGAATCCTTGGCTTCATATCAAGATAGCATAAATAATAGGAGTCCTCAGGTTGTTCTTCAACTCTATACATCCTTGGTTAGGCCTCATTTAGATTATGCTGCACAGTTTTGGTCACCGTATTACAGAATGGATATAAATGCTCTGGAAAATGTACAAAGGAGGATGACAAAGTTGATCCCATGTATCAGAAACCT